CGCCCTCCTGCAGCAGCAGCTGCAGCTGCTCCTTCAGCTCCGCCACCTCAAGCGACAGCTGGCACACCTGCTGCATGCTGCTGTCTTGCAGCGTGGCCAGCTGCACGAGGGAGGCCTTGGCGCCCGCCGCCTCCTCCTGCGCGCCCGACGCGGCGGCGGCGGCGGCGCGGCCCTGCCGCTGCAGCGCGCGCAGGCTGGACGCGATCTGTCCCGCCCACTGGTGCATGGATTGCACGTACGACAGCTGGCGCTGCTGCTCGTGCGCCTGGCTGGCCAGCTGCTGCTGCAGCCATGCCAGCTGGCCGGCCAGGGCGTCGGGAGAGGGGTCGGCGGCGGGGCCGCGCGCCTGCGCCGGCCCCGCGCCCTGCGCCTGCCCCGGCGGCAGCGCAAAGCTGGTGCTGCTGCGCCCGCTGCCGTCGCTGCTGAGCAGGCTGCCGTTGGCGGCGGCCAGGCCCTCGGCCCGCTGCCCCGGCACGCCGCCGGCCAGCATGGCTGCTATGGCCGAGGACAGGAGGGGCACCGACACGGGCGGCGCGCCGCCGGGCGGCTGCTGCGGCGGCGCGGGGCCGCCCGCGGGCGCGGGGCGGGCCGCCAGCATGGCCGGAGCAATGGCGGGAGGCCTGCCGCCGCCCGCCTGCTGCTGCTGCGCCAGCGCCGTCACCGGCTGGCTCATCCAAGAGTTGAGGTTGGTGGTGGTCTGGTGCGGCGCCGGCTGCGGGTGCTGAGGGTGCTGCTGCATGGGCGACGGCCCGCCGCTGCTGGGCTGCAGACTGTGGCTGGAGACGACGCGACGCGGCGCCGCCTGCTGCTGCTGCTGCTGCTGCTGCATGTGCGGGGCCTGGCCGGCTGCCGCCGCGGCAGCGGCCGCCGCCGCCGTGCCCGCCACCTCGTCCTCGTCTTTGGCGGGTGATGCGGTGGTGGAGGCGGCGGGCACGGCGGCGGGCCGCCCCGACAGCACCGCCTGCTGCTGCTGCTCCTGGCGCTGCATGAGGTCGTTCAGCATCTGCTGCACGTCCTGCATGGACGCGGAGCGGCCCGTGGCGTCCTGCGCCGCGCCAATGGCGCGCGGCGCGGCGGCCGGGGGCGGCTGCGCGGGCAGCGTGAGTGGGCGCGGGGGAGGGACCTGCAGGGCGGTGCGGGGGATGAGCGGGGCGCGGGGTCAGGATCGAGCATGCATAGGGGTGGGGAGGCGCTGATTACGACCCACCAGGGCCGCCCACAGAGGCCGCCGGCAGCCGGGGTGGTAGTGAGTGGGCACTCTACCACCGCCTCCAGCCCGGCCTCCTGCGGCGGCCGGAGGCGCCCTGCTGGGCTGCAAACCTAATTGCACTGCTGCCCGGGCCGACTGAGCACGGCAGCAGGGCAGGTGGAGGCCCCCAGGCGGCAGGGGGCCAGGCCCCTGCGCGCGCTCACCTGAGTGCGCTGCAGCCAGGCCTCTGCTGGCGCTCCCGCGTATGCTGTTGCTTGCTGTTGCATAGGTTCGTCGACAAAGCTGGTCCAGCACGGCATCAGAGGGTGCAGGTCATGCGTTGGGGGCGGCTCGTTGGGGGAAGTGGTTGGGTGTGCGGCAAACCTCGATGCGCCCCTAATAAACTCGCATGTGTCTAAGAGTGGGTCTTCCACATTGGTTGCAGGTCAACAGTCGGCAATTCACCCACCGCGCCTCACGCAAAGCACGCCAGGCGATCTCCCCCCGAATCGCTGTGCATAATTCTGTGCGAGGCTTGCAAAACAGTGGTGGCCACAGCTGTCAGGGACCCATGTGATCTCTGGCCCTGGCGCGAGAATAGTATGGGTTTCCCAAATCCCGCCGCACCGCCGCAAGGTACTACACCCACACACATACATGTGTGGGTGACAACAAAATTGTGCCTGGGATCCTTCGTGCTCGGTCGCATTGAATGCTACCTTTTACGGGACTGATGGGATCCGAACCAGCTGAAACACACACACACACACAGTGTGGCGACACCCGCTCCCGCCCGAGTCTTCGGTCGCCAGCTGGAGCCACGTGTTGCTCGGCAGCCTTCCTGAGGCTGCCCTCTGGCCTTGTGCATCCTGCTTAGCGTATGGCACATTGACACATTGCGCCCCAAAGCCACTGTACACCTGCGTCCACCTAAAGAAGGGAGGGAGATGCCATGCTGATGAGGTTGGCGGCGGTCTGGCGGTGGTGCGTGCGGGCATCTGCTGGTGCTGAAGCGCTGGTGTGGCGGCAGTCCCCCAGTTGGGCAGCCAGGCAGCTGTGCGGCCCTATCATGTCACTTTTGGGGCCATCTAACGAGCCTCGTTCAAACTGCGCAATGCCTGAGAGAGAATGGCGAGACGGCGGCAGCGGCGGCCGGGTCAAACACTGCTTTGAAGTATTGCATGCCTGTACCGCCACAATGCCACCCAATAATCTGCCTGAAGCCCCGAGAGGTCTCAAGAGCATTTCGGTTCCGATTCAAGAAGCTTCTCATGATGATGAGGGTGCCTGGATGCGGGCGCCGCGCCGGCGGCTCCCGTGGCGTGGCACGCAGCGCCAGCCGTGCGGCCTCTGATGCTGTGTTGCAGCAGCGCTGTGACCGGGATCATTTCAGTTCCGACAGTGTCAACGGAAACGAAAAGAATGCGGGCGGCAGTGTGTGGCCCCTCAGCCCTGCCACTGCCATGCGCTCCCCTGCCTGGCTGGGGACAGGGGTGGCCCGCCGCCTCGCCTCACAAGCCAGGCCAAAGAGACCTGCCCAGGCGCAGGCGGCCCAGGGGCCGGGGCAGCTCAGAAGCCGGGCAGTTCAGCCAGGTCCAGGATGCCAGCTGGCAGCGCCGCCACATCCCGCAGCAGCGCCAGCCGGTTCTGGCGCACAGCCTGCGGGGGGCGGAGACGGCAGGCAGGCCGGGGGTGGGCGCGGGATGGCGTGGGAGGCACGACAGGGGCACGGCGCGCCGATGCAGGCAGCCCCTCCACCCTCAAGGGTTCGACAAGGATGCGCACGCAAGCACACCCTCATCCACTTGCATACACACACACAGTCCAAGATGCACACACACACTCACATCGAAACCCGAAACCCAGCGCAACCCCGGAGCCCCAGCCCACCTGCTCCTCGCACATCACAAACACCTTGTCGAAGAAGGCGTCCAGCGGCGCGATCAGCGGCTCGGCGGCCGCCAGAAAGGCGGGCACCGGCATGTCGGGCGTGACCTGCGAGCGGGGCGGGGCGGGGCACGGGACGAGGCACGGGGGGGGGCACAGAGCGGTTGGATTGGTTGTGAGGGGCGCGGGAGGCGTGGCAGCGCGGGCACGTTTTGTTTACTGTATGAGCAGCAAAGGGCCTGCCGGGCGCCGCGAGCACTCCCCTAGGGCCCACCCCAGCATCGCAGGCGCCGCGCCGCACCTGCGCGGCTGCCTGGCGGTACGCGGCATGCAGCGCCCGCTCCTCCTCCTGCTCAAACAGCTCCTCCTGCAGCCGCGGGGGTCAGGCCACGCAGCGCGGGGGGCAGGCGGCGGTGCCTGCGGTTGGCGGCGGCGGCGGCGAGCGCCGAGAGCCAAAGCGCCGGCAGCCGGCGTGCCCGCAAAGCCGTCTGCCGTGCCCCTGAGCTGCCTGCCCGGCCGCCGACCCCCACTGCCAGCCCGCAAACCTTCCCCACATCCTTCTTGCCACACATGTTGGCTCAATCCCGCCCAAGCAATCACGGCCAACTGCCTCCTCACCTGAACCGTCCAGCCTGCGTCGATCTGCTTGCCGCGGGTGAGGCGCACGGGGCGGGCGAGCGCCGCCATGACCTGGTGCAGCCGCCCCGCCTCGCCAGCCGCCATCTCGTCCTGCGGGGCATAGCCGGTCGGTCAGTGCATGCCCAGAAACAGCTGCAAGCGGGCTCAGCGCCTCGGCAGGGGCTCCCAGCCGCCCAGCCTCTCAGAGTCATAGCCTGCCAGCCACCCAAGCCTCAGCCTCACAGCCCCGACCCCAGATGCGCAGCCTCAGGCCAGCGGCAGCGCCGCCCTCCGCGGCACCGCAGGCCCGGCGCCGGCGCCGGCGCCCGGCATGCCCACCCGAATCTCCCGCGCCGTGCGGGCGGCCAGCGCCGCGTCGCGCCCGCGCTCCCGCAGCGCCGCACGCACCGCCTCTATCTGCACCTCAGCTCATGGCGGCAGCGCGCAGCGGTCGGGGGCGGGGCAGCGAGGCGCACACGCCCGCCGGCGCGGCAGGCGCGGCATGCGGGGGTAGCCGACAGCCCACACAGGGACGCAAGCCGGCAGCCGCGGGGCCAGAACTGGAGGTCACAGGCTGCGCCATGCCAGTACATTGGCGCATGGTCGGCAGCCGCCCACCTGCAACCCCACACAAGCGGGCACAGCACTCGCAGCCACTCCCTCCATCTCTTCCCTCCCTCCGCCGCCCACCTGCACCCCCGCATCCGACAGCAGCTGCTCCAGCCGCCGCTCCACAAACTCGACCACCGCCGCCTGGCTATGCGGGGTGACGGCGCAGGGCTGCACCGCCGCCGCAGCCGCCACCGCCGTACCCAGGTCCAGCCGCGTGCCGCCGGCCAGGAGCGCCTGCAGCAGCCCCACTGCCGCACGGCGCAGGCCGTAGGGGTCTGCGGTGGCGGTGGGGGCGCAGCCCGCTGCAAACAGGCCCACCAGGCTGTCCAGCCTGCGGGGGGGAAGGGGGAGCGAGAGGGGGAGGGGGGTCGCAGGGGGACCGTCAGCGAGGCGGTGGTGGGGTGATTCGGGTGGCAGTGCATGTGCGTGTGCAAGGCTGCTGCTGCGCGCGCGCGCGCGAGATAGAGAGAGTGTGTGTAGGTGTGTGTGTGTGCGAGGTGGGTGGATGTGGATGGATGGCAGGCGTCCGGCAGGCAGCGGGGAGGGCCAGCGACCGCAGCGGGTCGCCGCCAGCCCGCCAGCCTCACTTGTCCGCCACCGAAACCAGCAGGCCCGCGGGGGTCTGCGGCAGTCGGTCGCCCGCGCTGCGGGGCAGCACGCTCTCGAAGATCGCCTCTGCCACGTCTGCAGCAAGCGGCGGCGGGAGGAGGCAGTACCATAAGCAGTACCATCATCATCAGCAGCAGAGGTCATGAACCACCAGTCAGGCGGCTATCGCCGGGAGCGCCAGCGCAGCAGCCCGGCAAGACGCAGCTGGCACGCCACGCCACGCTGCCGCTGCCGCCGCAGCCGCCAAGGCGCATGCATGCCCGCCGCCGGGGCGTGCTGGCGGCGCAGCTGAGCCTGGCACTCGCGGCGGCGGCGCTGCCCGGCTCGGGCCCAGGCCTCAGCCCAGCCCCAGCCCCAGGCGGCAGCCACCCCCCCCGCCCTCCGGGCTCGCCTGCAGGCAGGCCCTCTTTCAGGGCGTAGTGGCGGCCCATGGTGCCGGCCAGGGCCGTCATTTCGGTCACCTGAGGCAGGGCAGGGCAGGGCAAAGAAGGGGAGGAGGGATTGCAAGAAATGGCCACATCAGCACACGTGAGAGGAGGCAGGGCGGGGTGCAGGGGCAGGGCAGGGAGCCAGCTCTGGGAGGGCCAGAGGGGCAGGGGACCAACGGGCAACACCTTCGGGCATCCCTGGGCCCCCCACCAGAGGCACCAGACGCTCACCATGCTGGTGGCGAGGTCGGCCTTGCACAGGTGCGCCGCCTGCACCGCCACCGGCACCGCATCTGCAAGGGAGGCATGGACACATTGGGTGGCATGCAGGTGACGGGGCGGGGGCCGGGGGGTGCAGCAGCGGGAGCTCAGCGGGCACCCCTTGCGCCGAGGCAGGCGGGCGCGGGCCGGCGGAAGCGGCGAGCCCAGTACCTAGCCGCCAGCCCAGCTGGCCGCGGGTGGAGGGGCGACTGTGCTTCCCAGTGCAGCCGCGCAGCCACAGCAGCCCTGCCGCCACCCTCAAAGAGCTGGTCAATCACTAGGTCTCCCTTCCCCACCCCACCACGCATTGTCCCCGCACCTTGCAGCCCCGCGGCGGCGCCCAGCGCGGGCACCAGCTGCTCCACCCGGGCGCTCTTGTCCAGCAGGGACCCCAGGTCTTTCTGGAACATGGTGCCGGCCAGGCGGGGCCTGCGGGGCGGGGCAAGGTGGTGGTGTGCGCGTGAGTGTGCGTGTGAATGGTGTGTGAAAGAGGGCGTGTGTGTGTGAGCGTGATTGGTGTGTGAGAGAGTGCGTCTGTCTGTGGGGAGGGACGTGCATGGGGCAGGGTCGCCAGGTGCGGGGGCCGCTGCCAAAGCAGTCACCACCCCGGTACTGTGCACGCCGCGCCCTGCCGCGCCCTGCTGCGCCCTGCTGCGCCAGCTCAGCCTCGCGCCGCGCCAGCTCACCGCGCGTCCGCCAGCGGCGTGGCCAGGTCGTTGTTGTAGAAGAACTGGGCATCCTCAAAGCGAGCCCGCAGCACCGCCTCGTTGCCCGCCTGCAGCACAACAGGGCGAGGGAAGAGGAGCAGACAGGGCGAGGCGCAGGGTGAGGGAGGGTCGCGGCGCGGCAGCGGCGGGGGGGGGGGCGGGGGGGGGG